AATGAAGAATGGAATAGAATGAAATGAGATCAGATCTATAAAATGTATTGTTTAAGTTAAATATAAATATAAAATTTGAATGATTATTTCTAATTTGTAATTTAGGGTGATGAAGTAATAGCTTCGGAATTCTACTATACCGATGATATTATTGATGTATTTTCGGGTTGCTGTGCAGAAAATTCACGACGAGAGGGAATTCATCAAAAAGTACACACAATTTGTTAATTTTATCCATTTCGTAAATTATATATTAACAATATAAAAACTACTAAGTAACATTAAGTGTGAGACAAAAGTTAGAAGGAATTAATCTTGCGTACTTTAGTGATTTACATCTTCGCAATACTGAACTGATGAGGATGAAGTAATAGTTTTCAACCTTATAAATACAACCATTAAAATATCATTTAAATAAAAAATTCAATAATACATCATTGCCCGAAATCCTTAAAAGTGCCGGCGGAAGAAAATTCAAGAGTTTTAATAATTTCAAATAACTCGATGCTCAATGCTAGTATTATTATTAATTTTTCTTCTTTCAGCTTGAAAAACTAAATTCATAGACAATTTAAAAAAAAAAAAACTAAATTTATAAATTGTATCTTCAACATCTAACTTTTTGGTCATAAAAATTTCTGCTAACTTATGCTAATTAACAAATGCTAGTGCTATAGCGTTGGCATTTAAACTATTTGTTTGAACATTTTACTGGAAAAAAGAGTATTTCGCTTACAAAATGAAAGGGCGCACATTAAAGCATTTAGCGTTGTTGCCATAAATAATCGAGAATTCTCAAAAATACATATCTCTTCCTCATGTGTTAAATTAAATCTATTTATTTCTGCAAATTCCACAGATTTTTCTATATGCTTTGGGAAAGTGCTATGAAATTATCATATTATTTGCTTATCCTTTGCTCTTTGTGATGTGAAATAATCTAATGGATTTATTTATTTAACAGCAAAGCATGACTGTGATGTGAAATAAAAATTCAACTAACAGTATGTAAATTTCACAATTTTAAATAGCTGTAAGCGAAAAGAGACAAAATCAGAGTTGAAAGTTTACATATTTAAGATTTAAAATTTTAAACATTTTTTTCCTAGTAATTTTATGAAAGTATTTTCCAGTTAGATGGTTATATTAGGAAAACGTTTGGTGATACATTTGTCGCAAAGAAAAGTACGCTGTCAACACACTTTCTAACTGTAATGTGTGGTATCGATGCCGTCACTCCGAATGCGCTAATTTTTTTTATCGATTGCGAAAAGAGTGTCATTGTAAAATAATTATCAATATTGAAATTTAATTTAAAAAGAAGCTGTGATTTTTTTATTTATTCTGCAAGATCCTATTGATAAGACATGCAGAAATATTATCAATTAGAGAATTATAAAGTGATTTGAAAATTGAAATTTTCTAAAGAAATGACAAAATCTATGAATTACATATTTGATATCAGAAAAAGTGCAAGATCATGCAAAATGCTAATCCATATTTTGATTATTTGATCTGCATATCTCACCAAATCATTAATTAATCACAGAATTTCTATGCTTTCTGAAGGTTAAAAGTCAAGCAATTCATAGGATCATAATAACGCTTTCATTTTTCATCTTTGCATATTTAGCATTCGCTTGAAAATGCTCATTTTTTTCAAAAAAAAGGAAGAAATGAATTTCAGCGTTGGCTTAATGAGCTTCGTCGATTATCAGTGAAAGCATTGAAGGAATTATCACTTCGAGGTTGCTTTTATTATTGGCAGCGATTGTTCACCAAAATCAAACATTTCACAAATACTGATCAAATTTCAGTCAATGAGTTCGTTTTTCTTCTCTATCCTCAAATTTTAGAATTTTTTAATCCTTCTGATTCTCTGATAATGGAGTATGTTTTTTAACGTAAGTTAATTAGCCCATGATTTACTAAAGATTTTATAAAAATAAAACAATTTATTTGCTGAATAATTCAACTGGAACGCGTAGTAATTTTCCACTTCATGTATTACTTTTGAGTTCTTCTTTGGGAGGCTTATATTTAAAAAAAAAAATTTTTAAGTTTACTATTAATGCCGACACAAATAAACAACAATTAAAAATAAAAAATGAAATATAATTTACACAGATGATATAAAATAAGTGTAATTTAATTTCAGTATATTGGATGCTGTTCTATTCACAAAAAATAAGGAAGATCGTAAAGAAATTGAAAAATCGTTGAAGACACTTTCCATCTTCCATAGTAAGGTTGTGTCGTTTTTTGTTCTACTTGAAATTTCGGGTCATTTAAATTATTGATTTTCTGAATTCATTATTCTATATTAAAAAAGAAAAATAGAAAATGAAAAATGGCATTTCAAAATTTGATAAGACGAGATGAATCAATTTAGGAAACGATTTCTGTGGATGAAATAACAAATGATTTCATTTTCTCCTGCTATTGCTGTATATGTGGACGAACTGACGTGGATTATATATTCCATAAAAAGTAAGCCGAAAGCTTTTACCGTTACTTTACGTCAATGAACGGAAAATGTTTTCTGTTATATAAATATGTTGGAATGATGATAGATATTGAAACTCTCAGGATTACAAGAAATATGCGAAGAAGTGGAAATGAAGTCTCTTCTGTTGGATTTACATTTTTCTTTAAAATATAAATTTAGCGAGAAAAATGAAAGATAAAATAGATTGAATAAAGCGTTTGATGTCTGATCAACTAATCAGAATGATATTTTGAATTATCAGTTTCTAAAATTTGAAAAGAAAATGAAAAGTGCCAGTGAAAACTTGGAAAATTTTACTTTTTCATTGATGATGTATTTTGTAATGATTTTCTACATGACAATTTCAGATTTGCCGGAAAAGAGAAAGTGGATGCGGAGCATTTCGCAAAGTATCTCAAGGACGAGCATTATGATCCAAGGCTTAATGAGTTGCTTTATCCCTCTCCCACACCACAAATTGCTCAGTATTTAATAGACGAAATGAGCAGAAATGGTGTGTTTCTTTTTCAAATATGAATTTACAATTAAATGAATATTTGTTTATTTCATTTCATTTCCTATCTTTATTGTTATTCTAATTTTTCGTAGACTGTTGTTAAATTTAATATTTTTTGATTTTTTTTAAAGGTACAGGAGAGCAGCTGACAAAAGAATCATTCCTGAGATTTCTGTTAAGTGAGTATAATATTGGAATGCATCGGGATCATCTGATATTAAAGGAAGAAAACATGCACAAGCCGCTTTCGCATTATTTCATCAACAGTTCGCACAATACATATCTCAGAGGTTACATTCATTGCAATATATCGAAAACAATTACAAAAATGTGGATGATATTAACGGCAGCAAAAATTGTCATTTGATTATAAGCAACCGCGGCTTAAAATAGATTGACTCAAAAAAATCAAAATAAAATTGATTTATTGATATTTATTTAATATTGTTTCCTACTTTTTACACATTTTCGAGATGAACTGTTTTGTAATGTTTTTAACAATTTTTATATTTTAGAATTTTCATGGAAAATTCCTATGAACTTGTTAAAAGAACTTTTTTTTACGATTATAAATATTTACTTTATTCAACAGTAATCACTGGAACAGAACAATAAATATTGACCAATTAAACTGGTTTTAATGTAATTTTTGAATTTTTTTAATGAGAAATTTTTTTAGCAAAGTAAATAACTTTACTTTCAAAAAAAAACATGCACAGGTTATCAAGTGAATTCCAAAAGTTCTGTGGAAATGTACCGTTATGTGTTACTGTCTGGATGTCGTTCCATTGAACTTGATTGTTGGGATGGATCAGATGGTGAACCAATTATTACTCACGGGCCTTCACAACTTACACGAGTTACTCCTGTATTATTTAAGGTTTCCTCTTCACTTCTAAATTTTAGAGTTAATAAATTTTAATATCTCTGTAAAATACAAATCAATAGATGGGTAATATCATAAATGTCCATTAGAGAAGTTAACAATGAAGAGAATTGAGAAAATAATGAAATTCAAAATGATAAGCATACCGTTGAAACTAATTTATGCAAGCTTTTTTAATGCAAAGCAAACTGCCCTCCCAGAATACTTTTTAAAATAAGGTTATTTTTATTTCATCATGATCTTTCTCTTTTTCAAAGGATAATTTAAATTAACGAATGTGGTCATTGAATTTTATCGGTGTACACCTTAGAGCAAAAAAAATTCCAGGATGTTATTATAGCCATTGCGGAGACAGCTTTTGTGGTTTCTGAATTTCCGGTAATTCTGTCATTGGAGAATCATTGCTCGGTGAAACAGCAGAGGAAAATTGCACTGTATTGCCGAAAAATTTTCGGAAATTTTTTACTCACCGAACCATTGAGTGACTATCCGGTGTTTTGGCAATTATTTTTCCAAAATTTACTCTTTCGAAATTTTATATATCTAATTTAACATCACTGTACGATTGACAAAACATAAAAGAAATGAATTCATAAAAGTGCTAAATTCATTAGAGCTATTCAGATTAAGCAGGGTGTGAGTTTGCCGTCACCAAATGCGCTCAGAAAAAAAATTTTGATCAAAAATAAGAAAAACGATAATACGGAAACAGAGGATATTTTTAACAAATCAATTTGTAAGTCAAAATCGTTGCCATAAAATTTTCCATTGCCCACAAAATTTTTCAGTAATTAAAAATTGAAAGCTTAGAAAATTCACCTTAAAATTCATTGCGCTATTGTTTTCATCTCAAAATTGAATTTGCCCAAATTTTATTTAAAATGCTAACATGAATTCTATAACATTAAAGCCCAATTATGCGAAACCTTTGAAATTACTTCATTCTATTTAAGTTAAGGTTAAAATTGGTATTTGCAGCAGTTTTCTTTCCTATTTTGAAAATATTTCTTCCGTTAATGTTTTTTATAAACTTTTCGAATATATTCAAATGCAGAAATTCTCAAATTCAACAGCTGATGACAAAATAAAATGATTTCCATTTTTTCCTCTGCTGTAATATTGTCACTTATCTGAATTTTGTTACTTAAAATAATACTTTCAGCATCAACATCACAAAATGCCGCAGAAAATGATCTCAGTGAAAGTGAAAGTAGTGAGAAAGGTGCATTTTTCGGGAACAATTATCAATTTTATGTGATCAGAATTAAGATTAAATCAGATTGATCTGAAAATTTAGTTCATATCTGTCTGTTTTGACGTCGTAAAATAGTTTTCTTTTTTTGCATTGCATTATTTTTTAAATTTAGACGATGTCGTCAATCAAAATGGAGTCAATATGCAGACGCAGTCACAAAATTCAGTTAGTCACTGTTATTAATGAATAAAATTCTGGAATTAAAAAATATTTATTTCTTAAATTTCAAACCAATTCTCAGAAAATTGCAGGTTGTTGCTCATGAACTGTCGGACCTCGTAAATTACATGCGTGCATTGGGAAAGTTCACGTCATTTACTGATTGTGAAAGTAAGTCTTCTACTTTTCTTAACTTATAGGATTCTGGAATAATTAATAATTAGCATTTTTCGTAGCTGATAATTTTGGCGATTTTATTCGACTTTTCTATTTACAACCTTTTAGTAAATTTTAGTAAATTTTATATTGTTGTTTTTTTTTAAAAAAAACAATATCAGTCAATTTATAATAACAATATCAATTTAGACAGATTTTTCGAAAAAATAGTAATTTAAAGTATAAATTTCAAAGATTTTGACTGCATTTAATTTATCAATTTTTAATTTCTCCTTATGTCAAAGCAAATGACACTTTTAGTATTATCAACATTTTCATCTTCTGTATTACAACAATTGAAATTAAACGATAGGTAAACAAATGTGTTATGGAATCTTTTCGATGAATGAATCCCGTGCTTATGAATTGGTAAAAGAGGATCCAATTGAGTTCGTTAATCACAATAAAAGACAAATTACACGTGTTTATCCAAAAGGCAAACGTGTTGATTCCAGCAATTTTTGGCCTATTGTATGTTTCGATCATTTAAAATTACAGCATCTTTTAAATTAATTTATTAAGTATGTCTAATTAATGTGAAAGACTTTTTAGAGGTCGTTTTTTTTTTAGAAATTTTGGAATTGTGGCTGTCAAATGACAGCTATAAATATGCAAACACCTGACATACCATTTCAAATGAATGTAGCATTTTTCGAACAGAATGGCCGTTCTGGATATGTTCCCAAGCCAAGTTTAATGCGTAAAGCTGATGCAAAATTTAATCCGTTTGAAATGCATACCATGGATCTTGTTGTACCTGCCTATCTTTCTGTTACCGTTAGTTTCCTTCCTAATTTATTCCTGAAATTCGATCCTTCTTTCTTTGATTTCTTCATTGATATGAGCTATTTATAGATAATTTCTGCTCAAATGCTATCATTTGCATGCGAGAAGCGTCCCTCAACGTATGCAGAAGTGAATTTTTATGGACATTTCAATGATTTGTCACGATTTTCGAAACGAAAATATCGTACAAGAATTGTCATGGATAATGGAATTAATCCAAATTATATGGATTTTTGCAAAGAAGGCTTCAAATTTGAAAAGGTTAGCTTTATTTTTGTAATTTTTAAAAAATTTTATATGTTACCGTTGTTAGTATAGTGCTGAAAGATGATACATCGACGTTCATTTCAATCTCTCAAATTTGTTATCGGATAAAGGCAAATAAATTTAACGATTAATTTTGATGTTGAAAATCTGTACAAGTCCAATGCTGATAATTGCACTTTCGTTTTACAGATAATATTTCCGGAGATGGCCTCAATTCGTTTGGCTGTATACGAGGAGAATGGTCGTCTTATTGGACATTGTTTCTTGCATGCAAGTTTATTTTATCTCATTTCTAAAATACATAAATAAAATTACTTTTGTAATTATCAACTTCACTTCTGCGTTATTTAATCTATTCATGATTTTGTTGTATTTCAAATAAATTTGTTTGTTTCTAAGCTTCAACTAAATCCTTCTGCTTTCTGGAATCAGTCTGATTATAATAAAATAATTGCAGGTCCGTTCAATTCAGCCGGGGTTCCGGCATGTGCCACTTCGAAATGCTCACAGCCATCCATTGGGTCCCGTATCGCTTTTTGTTTTATTCCTCGTTAATGATTATATCGATGATGGAAGCGTTAGTATGATTTTTCGATATATTAATAAATCATTGTCTTTTTTTCCAAAGAAACAACATATTTTTTTCAATTATTCTTCTCTCAATTAACCGTTTCGATGGACATATCGAAAATAAAAGTATTTCATTCAAATTTTTTCTAAAATCAAATATTAAATTCACGAACTTTTTGAATTCAATTTTTTGTAAGTTTTATTTTAGATTTAATCATTTATTGAAAGAAATTAACAAATACATTTTACATTGCAGATTTAGTAAACGCACTGCAAAATCCAATTGAAGCTATGAAGAAAATAGCGGAAAGTGAAGAAGGTATGTTATCAATAGCTGCTAAGATGTATTAAAACTTAATTTTTGAGTGAAATTTATGAAACAAATTGATTTTCTTTGGATACATTTGAAATATCGACAACTAAAATCAAACAATTAAAATGCCTAAAATTCGGCAGTGATTGGTTAATTCTAAAAAGTTAGAGATTTTTACTGAAAATTTAACAAATATCGCACATTCTGCAACTTTGTGCAGCTTCTGCAGCATTGATAAATCCGATAGATAGCATGAAACAACGTGAGAAAATGCTTGTGGCATTGGAGGAATGCGAACCAAAATCTCTCTCCCCTGAATTAACCTTTTGGGATATCGCAGAAGAGGGCAAAGAATTCAGTGCTATGGATAATGGTCAAAATTTTGAAAATTATGCTAACTTATTACTAAAGGTAGGTATTTCAAGTTAGCTAAGAATTGATGTATTGGATTGAAAATCAACATAAATTGGTTTTTTTTTTCACTCAACAAAAACTGAGAACTTTTTTTAATCAAAAAATTGATAAATTCGTTACAGTGCTGCATCCTCTTTTTTTCTTGATTTAGGTTAAAGTAATTTTTATAGATGAAATCAATAAGTGCGGAGAGTGAATTAGCAAAGGACGCATACATATGTGAGGATGGAATGAAGCCATTTAATTTTGACAAATGGAATATGACAAATGGTATGTATAATAAAATAAGCATTCAATTAGTTAAAAAGTAACGACAATCATTGTGAGGTTTTATTTTCTGCGATAATGAATTAATTAAAATGGTTCATTAAATAGTTGATATTGTAAGACTTTTCCGGAAAAACTAATAGCCGTATTTGGATGAGGTGAAACGATGTATTAAGTGAAATATCCGGATAATTGTGAATTTTGGCAAGTTTTCATAATTCCGTGAATATGCAAACATATTTTATTATGATTTCGAAATAAATTTTTTTACAGACAATTTATATGCTCAGAATTTAAATCTCATATCTTAACTTCTTTTTTTCAAACTTTTCAACGGAAATCAAATTAAAATCTATTTTTTTTCATTTACTGAATATGATATTTAAATTTTAGTTTTATGCCAAATTTAACGCACCATTTCATTATCATAAATTTGCAGAAAAATTGAAAGAGCGCTTCTATTTGGATGATATGGAACTGAAACTTTTAAGAGAGGATGAATTAGCCAACAGTCAAAAAATTGTAAAATTGAAAAAGAATTTCAAGAAGAAACATAAAGCCATCCTTGATCTACTTGATGCTTCCTTCAAACAAAAGTATTCGTTCTATTAACAGAGCATGGTTTCAAATTGAAATAATTTTCATCAATTTTATTATTTCGAAAATTTTTTTTGCAAATTAAAAGCTATAAATTTTAAAGTAATTTTACATTTATGAAATGAAATTTATTTTAGGTCAGTATGTTCCACGTTAAGAAATGTTCATGAGAATGCTTTTGCTATTTATGCTAAATATGAAAAGGAGGTTAGTCCTTCTTCAAATGGCATATTTTTTGGATGCAAGTCAAATTAAAAAGAAAAGAACTTAAAAGTGTGCCTGCTCTATTTTGTTCCATTTGAAAATTTTTGATGATTAATTAAAACAAAAATCTTGTTTAGAGAACAGAACTTATTTTATCATTGGCGGAACAGAACAAAAAGAAGCTTATTAAACAACTCGATATAGCTTATAAATGGTATCATCAATTCAATAATAAAGCAATTTTAAGATGAATTAGTGAATGAACTATAATTTTGTGACACTTTAAAGATTTTTTTCGCGTTAATTTAAAAAAATCCCTCTAATATTTAAGCTGAAAAAAAATTTTTTATATTTATCAAATTGTTTTTTTTTTTTTGAAAAAGTTATCAAAAAAATTTTTTTTTTCGTTTAATGATTCAGGAAAACTTAAAAATCTTCCAATTTTTTCTTTTTGGAAAAAAAAACCGTTTATTTTAGTGAGTCAAAACAACTGACCAAATTAAATCACCAAAAGCGTTGCGCGGAGCAATGGAATGTGGTTCGAACGGATGGGTATGTGATAGTCTTCGATTTTCAAATGTAAACAATATTTGGTTACCTCTGCTTGAGAGAGAAACAAACCACTTCTCTCGCACATCATTACAGTATCTTTTGAGTACACGAATATTTCTTTACTGTTTGTTTGTTTCATCAATGCTAATTTAAACAATTTTTTTTTTTAAATATAATGAATTGATGTGGAGATTTTCGTCAATTTTTCAAAGAGTTTTGTTTTGAATTTTTTTTAATTTTTTCACAAAATGGTAATATATATATATATACATATGTTATTGACGAAAATTGTTTTCAGCGCAGAATTACGAGGAAAATATGTAAAACTTGGCTTAGAAGAGCAGAGGAGATTAAATAAATCAAAAGAAAGACGATCGAAAGAAATTGATGATAATTTTGAATTACTAAAACGAGAAATTGGAGTACGAATGGAGCAGGTAGCGTGTTATCTGTTAAAGTTTAAAATTCAAGTGAATATACAAAGTTCATATAAATATTATAACTTTGATAAGGAATGAAAGGAAAAAAAATTGAAGAATGTTTTTCGTATATTTAAATTTAAAATTCGCTTAGATATTTATTTCCTATAAATTATAATTGCAGAGGTTGAGAAAAGCTGTCTCTATACTTCATGGCCTGTAATTATGAATTGATATCTTTCATTAATTGTGTTTTGAACATTGGTGCCTATTGTTGTTTTTTAATTATTGTTTGCATCAATGAAGTAATCACAACTATTCGAGCAATATCATTTGAGCAGTCTTGGTTGATTCGTTTATCATCCTAGTTTAAAAGGGACACGAGAGAATATTTCATATATGAATGGATTTCCTGAGAGTAAACTTACTTTAGCAGTTATTTGGTAATTGATTAAAATGATGAAGCGAAACTGAGAAAAGAAAGAAATGCTACAGTGCTAACTAAATAAAAACGAAGTTGATAAATACTTAAATTTTATACATTCCTTCTTCTCGAAATTTTCGCAATTATTGCTCTGTGCGGTTTTCTGTGTACAGTTTCATGAAAAGTAATTGAATCAAAATAAAGATATATTTTATAGTTCAAAGCAAACCAATACAAAGGAAAGTCATCAGAAGACATTTATGAATTATCTCGCTTAAGCACAATTAAAATTTATTCAACTAAAGGAATTATATGCATCATAATGTCTAAAAATCACAAATAATTTGCATGAATGAACGAAAATATGTAACAAAAATGAAGCGCAATACTTCCATGTTGAGGAATGAAATAATGTGAAATAAATATTTGTAAACATTCATTTTATAAAGTATGTCATGTGGACATAATTTACAATAATATATGATGCGAAGTTTATAATTTTTCTATTTTAAATTATACTAAACCTATCCTTTAGTTTTTTCAGGTTTAAAATTTATAAAAATATTGTTAATACCAATAGTAAGGAAAAGTTGTGGCACGCAGTTCGAATTCTCAAGGTAAATTTGTCATCAACGTATATATGCCTAAACAGATGGGCTTGGTAATTAAAAAACTTCCAATATCAATTTCAAAAGACTTCCCAAACTGATAGTAAATGTTTGCCTGAAATAGAAATGGCTATTAATTTACAATCTTAATTTAATTACCAAGCCCATCCGTTTGGCATATAGTAATGTGAACTGGAAGGCAAAATAGAATTTGTTGATGTGAAATAATTTCCATTTGGTGTAAATGAACCCGGAAATGTATTTGATGCGGAACAAGTATCGGTAACAAAATCTGTGGGACACGGTTTCCCGTCATGTACCAACATTTGCACCGGAATGCGTTTTGATTGTGAAAAATTAACAGTTGGCATTGACATATTATTCTGCACCAAATTACCATTTAATCCCTTATCCTGACTGGTCTTCTTGGTTTTATACCTGAAAAATTATAATTGAAATTTTTTCAGTCCTCCTTATTAATTTATTTTTTAATTTGAATCTCAAAAAGTGTGAGATTGTTTTTGTTAGTGGAAGGATTAGAAAGTACTAAATATGTGATAAATGTAATGATATTCATTGTTTTTTCACAACAATAACGCATTAATTTAAGGTTTGTGATTTTTCACTACAAAATGAAATTGAATCTAAAATTCACAAAGTTATTTTCGCTAAACGGAGAATTTCCACTTTTAGATTGTAATTAATTAACGAATAAATTTTTGAAAGATACCTATGATTTTGGAACCAAATTTTCACTTGCGTAGGTGTTAAGCGAATTTGCATGGCAAGCTGTTCACGTTCGGGCGCCGAAAGATACCTCTGTGCGCGAAATCTCCTTTCAAGTTCAAAAGTTTGCAATTTTGTGAACAATACGCGTCGTTTGCGCCGTTTCTTTCTTCCTCTTTCTTCTGAAAAAATTAAAATATAAAAATTGGTAAAAGTGAGCAAAACGAGAAATCATTTTATTTGCAAGAAATTTTTTTTGCTTATATTTTAGAAAGGCATCTTTATATATATAAAATAATGAAGTTTATAACTGGTAATTTGAGCAGCGTAAAATTTAAATTGAAAGCACCTTCATCCTCATTAAATGTTTCATTTTCGTTGAGAACATCGGTAATATCTTCACTTGTTCCTTTACTAAAACATTATGAATTAATTATTTCAATCTTAAAATCTAATATATCATCCACTTCATCATTGTTTACATTATCCATTTTTTCGGCAAATGTATAATATGCTATAATACGGCCTAAATATATTAAAAGAACCAGTTAAAATCTAAACAAAATTTTTTGAAAAAATGTGAATTTTTCAGTGTGCTAACATGATTCTCAAGTACCTGATTACACTGGCATCGTTAATATCTTCCTCATTTTCAGATTTGTTATAATGTGACGAAGTAGGCAGTAATGGTGGTTCGAAATTCTTTTCAATTTGATCACAACTACCACTCGGTGCATTGATTATCTCAAACCTAAATAATGTAATAAAAATTATTAACCTGAGAATTTTGGAATATTTTCCAAATTTTACGTTGATTTTTATAACTTCAAAAATAAATCTTTTATTTTTAGAAATTTTTTTATTAAATGACGATTAAGCTTTTTTAAAAGGAATGTTAACAAAACAAACCCAAAAGGAGCAGCTGATGATATAAGGTAAGATTGATGAGTGTTAAATGCGTTCTGATCATAGATTGGATAGGACGTAGAGCATGGTGGGGAGGAATATGACGTATCAAACACCGGTGAAGCACGATGATATCCTGAATTACGGATATGATTGTTTTAAGACATTATCAGTTATCAAGTTTATGCAATATATCTAACTGCCAGGATCTTTTATTTGATGTAAAAATAAGAAAAATTGCGAATTTAAATAATAACGGAACAAATAGATTTGACACAGCATTGCTTATTGTAATAATTTATTATGAAAGAAATAGCGATCATACCGTAAATTATTGCACTAATCTCGAAATTAAAGTCATGCAAAACAACAATTATCCTAAGTTGAAAATTGGGAATAGTTCATTGAACAGTTATGGATGAAGTTGAAAACCGAATAAAATTATTTTAATTTAATTCGAAGTTGAAAAAGAAAAGCTTACCACCGAGCAACGGTAAATGATCCGTCCAAGATGATGAAGGATAGTTGTGACAGTTACCTACTCCTGTACTATCGAATATATTTGGCTTTAGTAATTCACACCTGAAGAAATTAGCTGTTAATATTATTCAACTTGGGAAAAAAGTGAAACGTCCAAAAATGATTTAATACTTATTAAAAAAGCGAAAAAAGAAAACATTTGCTTATTAAATTGATCTAAGCAATGAAAAAAAAAACGAAAGATTATTTAATAGGTAAAAGGCGCCACTTCTATAACACTAACAAATAATGTTGGCTATAAATTGATATAAAATTCTTGTTGTTATAGTAAAACTAACAATCGTTTTTACAAGTTGACAAAAAAAGAAAGAAATTCATATGAAAATCATTTGCTCTTCATCTTTGTATTATCAACAGAAATTACTCTTTGATATTATGAATAGGGACTAAAGTCATACAGAATGACAACTATCCTAAGTTAAAATTAGAAACAGTTTATTGAATAATTATGGATAAAATATATTAATTTTGAATTATTTTCTATTCTGGCTCTTTATCAATTTTATGTCAGCTGAAAATGCAAAGCCAAGAAATTGAAGTCTAAATTCACGTTCTCCTCCTATACCAAGCAGAATTTGCTGATAAGTTAGAAAGGTGAAAAACTTTTTCAATTTAACGTTCCATGGAAAAGATAACTGACCACCTGTCAAACGTTCCTGATAATGTCAATTTTTGAGATTAGTATACTTTTTTTCATCTCAATTCTTGAAATTTTCTCATATTTTGCATTTTTTTCCTATTGAAGATACACTCTTTTATAAAAAACAATTTTTGCATTTTATCATTTTTCTTAACTCGTTTTAAAGCTTTTTGCTGCATTATCAATTGAAATAAAATTTTAATCGAAATTTAATTTTCTAAGAAAATTTTTTTAATAGCAAAAAAGTTGCACATACAAAATTATTGTTATTCTGTATTTATTTTTAAAAAAAATAGATATGAAATGATACTGGCAAATTTCAAAATATAATTAGGCCCCAAAAAAATCAGTTGTAAGCTTAAGAGAAGATTTTTGATTTAAATATTATTGTTATAATTACTGTTAAAATGTTAAAATTACTTCTGTAATTAAAATTTTAGCAGTAATTTTTTGCAAAATATGTTTCAAAAAAGGAAGAGGAGTTTATTTCAAAAATGGATGAAATCAATCTTGTTGAATGAAAATTTTAATGAACTTTGTAATGAGATCATCCATTAATAAATGAATGCTAATTTACTTCATAGTTTTTGTTAGAAGCAATCAACTAATCCTTATGAAATAACTCTTGTTCTTCTTTCTTTCTTTCTCTCTCTCGCCTTCTCTCTCTGCTAATACCATTTGCTATCCGATATCACATTAGCAGCACTCTTAATCTTTTTCAGTACTTCATTTACTATACAAGTTCAACTTCGTGGAATCCTATCAGATTGCTTGAAATATTTTGAATAATTACACCATTTGCAACTATTATCCTAATCAATTTTTATAGGTATGCAAATGTTCCATTTTAATTTCTATTTCAATTTCATGTAAAATTTGAATCCTTTGTTCAGGCATTTTTCGTATTTTATTTGTATGTATCTATATTAAAAATACTTTAACTTACTTATTGCTGATGAAATTAGCAGTTGTTGGAGTACCAGTAGTACCAGTAGATGTCCCGAGTGCATTAGAGTTTGACCCTGATAACCCAGTAATTGCTGTTGCTGTTCCAAATGTTGATCCGGAAGTGGTAGCAGCCGCATGAGCGGCTGCAAATGCAGCAGCATTCAACGGGAACATCAATTTATTAGGTGAAATTTTCTGATGCTATTTTTATTGACTCGGGAAAAAAAGATTGTGAAAAAGTAAAATTTAAAGCGGTATCAGTTGAGAAATTTTTAAGTAAAATAAAATAAATTGTTAGCTAATAGACATACAATAGATTGCTTTATTGGCTTAGTTCAATTTTTCAGAACAATTTAAACTAGCATATGAATCATTCATCCACCCGAAAAAAAGCATTGTTTAGCTAATACTTTTCGGGGATGCTGAAGAAAATTCTCCACTACCGTTCAACATACTTAGAAACCGATGAAATATAGCAAATGAGAATGGATGAGCTTGTTGATGATGAGGAGCTCTGTCATAGGTAAGTTCAGGTAAGTTAGAATTTTGTCCACCCTCCCCTCTAAGATTTTTATCATCTGTCATTGGATGTCGTCGATACACGGTATTTGTCTCATCCTCTTCGTTTATTTCATCCGTTGAAATCTGTCTGTCTGAGATATTCCTTCATCTCTTTAAGTAAACTTTTCAATGGAATGGAAAAGAAGACAGTAAACTGAACGAGAAATGAATGATTTATTCAAATGACATTTTCCTCTTGCAATTTTAATTTTCAAACTATGCAGTTGTGCATAAATTTTGGAATTTCAACTTGCGTAGTTTCTTAGATTGATCATGCCAAAAAATAAAGCATGAAAAAACTGAAATTCAAAAAAAAAGTTTGTAGTAGGTATTAGGTCAATTTCGATGAAGCTACGTGACGAAAATTACTAACAAATTGATTGACAGCTTAAATTTTTAAATTTCATTCTCAGATTTAATGCATAGCTTTATAAGGCAAGATAAGTGACCAATTAGTCATTGTAGCGCTGAACAAGTCCCAGTAATTATCGATTGGTTTTTAGTTTTGTTTTGTAAGGATATTAAATTAGTTGCTGACTGAACTGTCTAAATACATTATCAATTAGGAAAAATTTTAAAAAGTAATTGTGTACAAATGTTGTAAATTTTTAATTGTTATTCAATCATATATTAAAATTTTGTATTTTTAGCAAAGATTTAGTATAAATAAAAGAAAAACAGCTAATATTGACCTTTAGACCTTGCATTTCTGGAAATGATGATAGATGAGAAAGATTGTCCTCATTTGATATGATGTGTGCCGGCGTAGTCTTCATCTCGAATAACAGTATTGTCGAAGGTAAACAATGACAGTAGCTAACCAGGAATGATGAAGTAGAACTGTACCTCAAATCTATTTAGTCTGTAAACATTTCCCATTCTCTCTTTACTTCTACTTTCTATGATAACATTACGAAAGCTGGCAGTTTCAACTCCGATTTCGCGCATTATAAAGCGATTTTCAACGATTAAATAGTTGTCAAGAATGTGTTCAAACATTAAAATAGAATAAATTTTTAAATTGTCAAATTCCTCATTTTCGATTATATGTGATACTCTTTCAGTTATGAAAGGTAAATAATGCTGAATCAATTTTTATGACGATTTTGAATTAATGTTAAAATTGTTGAAACATATGAAATGAAAATTTCTCGGTAAGTATGGAATAATAATAAGTTAAAGTTTGCTTCGATCAACTTTTGCTCATATCATTATATTACATTTCTGTTTTTCTTTTTCGTTTCAAAATATGACATTTTGAAATGAAGGAAAATTTTATTAGGCATAATATTTGGGTAAAAGAATTGCCAAATATTTTTATATTAAATCTGCCGAAACATCATAACATCAAATTAAAATATTGCTTTCATTGTAAATACAATTTAGAGGGCAAAAATAAAAATAAAAATTTTTTTTTGATATTGAAGTACATTCATTAGAAGAAATTGTAAATCAGCTGAGATTTTAACAATTGGACAAAAATAAGAAGCAGAAATTCGAATGAAAAATAAGATAAAATTAATCTCATTTCGAGAATAACAATGTTCCCAGTTGGATAATTATACAGTTTGAATAGTATGCATATTTAAGAGTTGTTCACTTCAGTCTGTCCAGTTTTCACATTAGAAACCAACTACATATTAAATAATTTACATCTCGAGGGAACCACTATGAGTACCACAATAATGTTATATTTTTGCAAATCTCATTTATCAAATCGCGGAGAAAAAAGGAAAAATTGCTAATGTATGATTTTAGTTGTTATTGCCAATGAATGAAATTTCTTTCGTTTAGGCTTCTTGAATGTAAAAAAACTCAAAAAGTCGTTTGCATTTGGAACATTCCCAATTTTAGTTCCTTTTTTTGTGTGCAACCGAATATGCTGCAATCTTTTGCATTGTTTCCCTACATCATTTATTTTTGGCCCCAAATAAATAGTCCGCTGATTAACTACGAACCATATTGCACTCATTTCTTGCAAGCAAGCAGGCCTAGTTTGGTTAGGCCTAACTCAATTATCCGGAGAAGATAGCGAGGAATCAGCTTAGCAACAGAGATTCTTTTTTACTTTATTTCGCACTTTTAGTTGCTTGTGTAAAAGACAATTCACTCAGTAACAATCCAAAGTTATCAGCTTAGATTATGTCACTAAATTGAGTGCAGTACTTTCTCTTTCTCTCTCTCTCTCTCTCTCTCTCTCTTGTAATTTGGCAAATTTGAAATTGAATCCATCAAAGAAGCTCTTCTCAAGAAATTATTGCAGTTTTCTTTTGAGCGCAAGCATAAATTCATTATGAAGGAATATAATTAATTCTACAGTTGGCAGTTGAAATTTTTAGCAATTTTAAATTTCTGCTATTCGATTTTAATCATTAACCGACAGCAAAATCTTTTCATTTCTCCTAATTTATGATTTTCAACTATTAATTTCAAAAGACTTAAATTTATATTGACCAGAATTATGTCTGTTTATATTTGTTGAAAACCAAAAACTCATTCTGCTATTGCTATCAAGTATTGTTAATCATTTTTAATTTTTAAAATTTGATTCTAATTTTGTTGTGTTAACTAATATCCAAGTAGCGATGAAGCAGAAGCTCTTTTTATCATTTTTTTTTAAAGTACTTTTTTTATTATATTCTGAAATTCCTGAAAATAAAAAAAAGCTTTTGAACTTGCAACAAACGTACTGTAACAGTACTACAACCAAAGATTTGGTTATTTCAGATGATCAGGGAGAGCAAATTTTCAAAACCTTTTTGATTATTAATCAAAAGTTTTCTGTTTTATTTGCTTCGCTACACAAAGCATGTTATTTTTTTTACAAGCAATTTACAATTATATTTCTTTTTCAGAAAAAAATGCTAATATTTTTTCGGCTATATTATTCGCGATATTCTCCCTTACTATTTGACAGCATTTCTAAAATTGTGTAACATTGGGATGGCGGCGTATAGTCGGAACGGTTTTCGTTGGTCATTAAATCCGCTTCTTGCTATTGTTGCATTTGTAAGTCATTTTCTTCTTTTTTTTTTAAAAATATTTTATAAAAATTTTAGAAATACATTTTAAAATTCGCTAAAAGTATATATTCAGTATTGAGTTTTACAAGAATTATATTAGCAATGTTTACAATAATATTTCATCCAACAATCTTCCTACAGCATATGTTGAAATTAGCAAGAAGCGATATTCATCATCATTTTCTTGGATTATTATAAATTTTACTGATTAAAAGGTATTTCAAACATTACACTAATCTTTTCATATAATTTCAGTGTGAATTTTGGCTTGCTATTAGCCACCTGCTATTTTGCTCACCGTTATTTCCTTTCTTAATACCACTCATTGCCGCTGTTTTCGCTTTGATTACCGCTTTTCATGCTCTTTTTCTACGTTTTCCAAACAGGTTTTTTGTCATTTTTGATAAATTTTTCTCTTCAAATCTCTCCCACACAAATTTCAATCTATCGAATGCGAAGCAAAAAATGGAAAATAAGAAAATTAATAGATATTTATTGCCTAATTGCTAGCTCAAACATCAAAAAGTTCCTCATTAGAATTTGACTAAAATAGAAATTAATACTGCTTAAGAGAAAATTTGCTTATGATTAAATTCATACCCCTACTTTAAAGCCTATTACAATAGTAATTCCTCTTATGCTTTTTTATCAAACTTTATTTTTTTTCTTTTTTTTTAAATAAATGGAGGGAAAAGTAAAAGTGAAGTGAAGCTATGATATACTGAGTGAAATTTTTTTATAGCTCACGTTATCTTATAAATAAGTTTTAAGACAGGGTTTGATTTTAATTCAATATTGCTATCATTTTATATTTGAAATGCTTAATATTCATTTTAAAAAATTATAAATTAATTGATTAACGAAATACTACGATGTAGTAATTAGGAGATTCATCTTTTCGTAATTACTTCTTTTTAGCTACAGTGTATTTCACTTCTTATCAGTAAAAGAACGATTCAGATTGTTCAATTTATTACAGAACGGACTTTGTACTTCATTGTTGTTCTGCAGCTTTGGGATTTATTCTTCTAATATCATCGATTACTGAAACATTTTGTGGGGTGGATGGTATGTTGAAGGAGGAAGAGGCCCGCGATATTTCAGGCATGTATTTCTTTAAGTCATACTTCATTTATTTTGGTGCTGTGAAAAGAGGAATTTCAGCAGATGGAATTTCAATGTTGCAAGCATTATGTTATGGTCTAACATATCGGACATCAAGTTATCAGAAATCTTGCAACGATTTCTTGAAGCCATTTCATGATTCATTGCTATTTAAATTGAACATAACCTTTCATACAAGTTCAATAAATTTCATGACATCATTCTTATTGAGTGGATTTGCATTAGCACATACTGCCACCTCGACAGCTCTTGCTTACTACAGTGCGAATGAGAACGGGTAATCATTTTACAGTTCTATAATAAATATAATACACGTAAAGCAGTTTCTCTACCAAACGGTAAAAAGTAATTGATCGTCATATCGATGTTTGATTAATGATTAACGAACATGAAATGATCAAAGCACATATAAACAAACGTAAAAGTAAACGTGAACCTAAATTTCGTATATTTTCGAGTATGGTAAAGATTAATAAAGTCAAATAAAACTTACCTGACAACAAGAATATCGTAAAACTATAAGTGACTTTCGTTTTTTATGGGAATGTTAAAAATTAATTAATTACAATAAAGAAATTCAGGTATTTGATACGTTCTTATCATGGTCAACTGCTGGTTAGCATAATGATGATACCCGCTGCATTGCTTCATCATTCCTACTGCTGCACATATTTTTACCTGTGGCCTGCTGTTCCTGTCGGTCTCTATACTGCGTTTCAGTGTATTCTTACCTGGAAATACCAATATCGAGGTGTAATATTGCAGCATTATTATGAATCAATTGAATTTTAAATCTGGTTCAAGAAAAATATCTATTAAAAAAAAAAGTACTAAAATGGAAATTTGCAGACCAGCTAAAATTAAATTCTGCCGAGAATATGCCTGATGATAAATGCTTTCAATTATTGTTACACGATATAATTTAATAAAACATGAAAAAATTGAAAGCAATTTTTTTTAATTATTGAAAAGCATAAAATATAATTTGAAGGGTAAAGAAATATTTTAGGCAAATTTGTTCGACTATCAAATATATTTGGTTCAGGTTTTGCGATGGCATTGGCTGCTGTTGCTTCGTTTGGAATGTTTTGCATTTTTGCGAGGTATCTCTTCTTCCGCTTTCGTTTAAAATAAATAAATCGATCAAATTTTTTGTATTTTTCTCTAATAGTAAAAATTGACAAAATTTAAAGTTCAGTTAGACAATTAATGGTAGCTAATTTTATGCAGTGATCGAACGAATAAATTTAATAATTTTAAATATGATCTCCTAAGCACTGACTAATTTTTTTTTAATCTACCTCTTTCACTCATTTCACCGCTACGAAAAACAAATATATTGAGTAAAAAGAAATTTGTATAATTATGCTATTAATATGAAACGTAATTAAGGATTAGTTTTAGATATTCAATGAATCATTTCCCATTTCAACGTCATTGTTACTCGCCAGCATTCGCTTATCATTACTGCTATCGAGTTATAGACTTTCGTAATCCGTATACTGAGTGGAAACGAGAGTATATTGTGGCTGAAACGAGTGCAATTCAAATTCTCGTCAACTTATGGTTATTCATTTCAGCTATTTTCCTCTTCTCCTTCTCATTGAAATCAGCTTTTACTGTTGAAATATTTCCCAGTTATCTACATGCACAATCATTCTCTTAAAATTATCTTTCAATCATGCACCAAAATTTATAACATGAAATATTGATGATATTCATATTTCAGAAAGTTCATATTGCATGCAAGGTCACTGTATAATTATTGTTTTATTTAGAGTTATATTATTAGAAGATAAGTTTTAATTGATAGCAAACTTTAATATAGTATTAGAATATTGCATCTTTTATACAGTTCTAGAATGCTGTATGAAAATGAACTATGATTAGTTTCCATCAATGAATAAATTAAACCGAATCTCTTCCGGGATATCGATGATTTATTTGTATTAACGGTACAATAATGATTACGATACGATTAAGGAAGCTTAAATCAGTGACATTTTGTTTATTTTTATCAAAACCTGACGCTTGTGTAATAATTTTTTTTTCAATTCTTAAAGTGTATATTGAAGGATTAAATGCTAAAATCGTTGGACTTGGCTGACACCATATTTAGGTATCCTCTTGACATCTAAAAAAAATGAATCGACCCGATTTTTTAACGATACATTCGTTCAATCATTTGTGATTACAATGTTATCACAGGATTAACAAGTTTTAATTTAAAAATTTTGATACTTTTTGAAGATTTTAAACATTGGTACGTTCTTAGAGAAATCACTACAACAGCAAAACTCTTTTTAAAAACGAATTTAGATTTACCATTTATTAAGAAATTCATTCAATAGTTGAGATCAGGATCACTCATGACTAATAGCCTAGCAAAGGATATTATGGAATTTTTTTCACTATGTAAGATTTAAAATTTTTTCCTGCCCAAAAATTTGAAAGAATAACTTCCTGCACACTGAATTAACATATAATCGACTATCTTTAATTGGTCTTAGCATAAATAATCACTGTCAGTAGATAACCGAATATTATCATACTGCAGTTGACCATCCGAATCAATAAATAGCATCACAAATCTTATCACCATTTATTATCATGTGTTATATATGAATGTTCGTGATAATGCTTCCGTAATGCAATCCAATATTAGTAATATTTTGAAAGTTCAAGAAACATCATTTGTGGCTTTTTAAATTTAGGAATATAATTTTCAAGTTGTCATATTTTCTGGAAACAGCATTGATAATTTTTTATGCACATATCGCCTCAATTTGACACAAACTTTTTTAAACACAATGTGACACTGGAAATATATACAACTTTATATGATACTTTATAATTTAATTGCGAAAAAATAAAATAGAGCAAAGAATATTTCAATAAACGAAAATAGCTAAAAAAGTATGCAAACTAAATTTAATAAAAAAATTCTGAAAAAAAATCTCTCAACATACAATGTTAAAAACCTTTAATGTTTACTCATAGCAAAACGATGGCAAAGGTGGAAAAGGTATAACTGCTCGTCGACGTCTTTTCCCCGGAAAGGCTGCAGGATTCCATGGAAATTCATTATGTTGCGGATTTCTAGGATCCCATGGAAAACTCTAAACAACAAATTCATTTATATAAACAGAAACATTTTCAATTTTAACAACAATGAAATTTCAAAAGGTTTTCTCAAAATTTGATTTAAATTTTGAAAGAAATCAAAAATGAGAATATTGAAAGAAAATTTTCATTTTCATTCATTAATACAAAAAGATCGTGAACTTTTGATAATAAATGAAGTACATACCAGTTGTATATGATCGGTAAGACTCGCAGACCATCTTGCAACACCCTGTTTGTATTGATACAAATTTGAATAATCGTTTGGTTCCATGATACGCTTATATTTCCCGTTTACATATATTCGACCGTTCTATAAAGTATTTCAAAAATTTTGAACTTATTTGACATACAATACCGATTCTTTAACACTTTAACTGACACTAAAATTTAAACGATGAAATTTATTAATTTCATAAATCAAACTATGAGATTACATTCCAAATTAGCATGATATTACGATATCTTATTCTCATTTATTATAATATTTCCATCAAAATCATTTAATTTTGACAGTATCATTGAATTATTCATTCCATACTGTACTTATGAACAAATATAGTAAATGGCACAGTATAATAAATTTCTCTCCTTGTGACTTTTTAATACAATGGTGCTACATCACACTGATTAAAATTTTATTAATAATTTGCGATTTCTCGCTAATTTCCACTTTTTATTTGATCTGGAAAATATTTATCATTCCATAAAGTGATATCAATTTACTTTGTGAAAGAATAATATATTTTACTGCAGTATAAAGAGAGAAATTAACAGTAACTTACCCGTACTACGCAATATATGTCGTTCTCAATGGCACTCAGTTCATTGTTAATTTCAAGTGGGTGTACGATATCAGCGTTTCTATTTCCATAATCGGTACCGGTATTATTGAAATTACCAGAAATGATATTCTGTCCTTTGTTTGGCCCCCAAAGAATGATTGATTGTACCGTAATGCTATAAGAAATTAAATATAAATCTTGGAGAATGAATGCTATCGAGAGTACAATGTGTTAGCTTACAACATTTAGTACACTTTTGGATGTAATATTCATTTTCATCTTTGTACCTTTTTGTAATTCACTTAAAGCTCTCAATATTTTGGACTTATTGAGTTATAATAATATGAGAGAAATTTATGAGCATTTGATTTTCCTCAAAATAAACTGTAAATATGCCAATATTTATTAAAACCACCACTGATATATCATCCATAAATTTGAATCTATCGATCTCATTTTGTACTCCATGAATGAAAGGTGAAAACCTACCAAAGAAACACCAAATGCGGATTGCTTTATTTGTAATTCTAAAATTATTGCAAAGTTGTAAAATCAGTTCAGAGTCTAAAATAATTTAACGATATTCGGATAAGCTAAACACTATGAAAGATAAATGAAATAGAAACAATCATTATCGAACAATTCATCACTTACTTATGCATTACTGAGAGAGTGTAACAAAAAAAAAACACTTACAGAAATTGAAGTTTGATTTTCATTATGTGACAGCTGTTTGCTTGCTCTGAATTTTGCAATGAAATTATGATAAATTATTGATAATAAATAATGCAAGCATCGACAAAACCAAAAAAATTCTAACCATAACGGTCATAAATTGTCATATCTTTTCCTGTGAATAAAGAATGTATTACCAGTCGAATTAATGGATTAAATTTTTTTAGAGTAACAAAGAAAATACTTTGGCTGTTCGAGCTAATTTTTCCTGAGATGAATAGATTGCATGTCTGCTTATTCTTTCAAGTTTTTTTCTCATGTAAAATTATGAATAATTTCCAATTTTATTCGTCATACAGGATGCACTGTTAGATCATAATCTTTGACAAATTTTTTTTTTTTATTCGAAAAGTTTTCAAATTTGACTTTGAAATTTCATTTGCCATTGACCAAAGATATTGGACTGCTTCAAAAATTTGATTACCTGTGTTCTTATAATACTTTAAAATTTTGCGTAATTGAAGCGAATTCATTTTTAAATTAATTTATAGAAAAGCATCTTAATTGGTAGAGCTATATACTGTACTGGATAAAGTAACTAAATGGGCATTTTAAGCAATGTCATAGAAATGTGGAAGTTAACAAACTAATATACGAATAGAAGAATAGCAAGAAAGGAAGAACATTGTGCCGAAATGAACTTTACTGTCAAATAAACGAAGTGTTGTGATGAAATGAAAAACAAATATTGATTGCCAATACTTTATTACATAATTACATTCGTTGTTCTTTCTTTGTAACTCTAACTTTTTTTTCCTGTCTATTATTACAATTTATTGTTCTGACTGATTAAATATCTTCTGCTGTTTCCTCCCTTCTCAATAATTTTGAATAAATAAAAATTCAGATGGGAAGAGGACTTTAGGAAAATGTTGCAAAAACATTTAGTGAAATTTCTCTGAAAGTTAGTAAATATCTGAAGATTTATAGTAATGCAACTGTTCCGATATCCTTTATTAAATTGATAACAAAAAGAAGACGGAGTTTGAGGAAGTAAATAAATAAACATTACTGACATATGGGAATAAACAGCGACATACCAGGGCGTTATTAAATGATGTTAGTATGATTTCAGTCATTGAGATTCATGTCGGATGGTGGTTTATGGCTGAAATAGACATTCGATCTCGGAGATTGGCGATGGGTGTTCAGTAAACGTTAGCTCAAAACAAAGTCATTTAAGGATTATGTCTGCTGTCAACAAAGTCAGAATATTGCGTGTTACATCTATTCCTTTACTTTACACTAATGTGACGAAATTAACTGTCCAACAAGGTTTATAATGGAGTATACTGCTATATTTCTAGTATCGTCATATTTATTTCATGCTTAATGGATATGAGATATATATAGCTATAGATAATTGAACAGAACTACTGGTTGCAAATAATGACATCCAATGATTGCGACGAAAGTGCTGAAATTGATGAATATCAGGAAAATGCTGGATCGGTGATCAACACATCAGGATATTTTAGCCATGTGGACGAGTGTTTTGCTTTAACTGAACAGGTTTTTTTTAAAAACCGCCTTATTTAAAATGAACGAGTGAATGAATTAAATATAGAAATTTTATATTGGCGCAGTTTTTAACTGAGTTATTTGACTGAATTAATTAGCCAATTATTAGACAAATAAGTGCTACAGGTTCCGGCGACATACTCATCTGGCACGACAAAAACAAAACTAACGTGTTTTGATGTTGGCCATAATTATATTGCATTTGGGAGTAGCTGTGGTACTTTGTTCCTTTTCAATCGTCGATTAAATCGCAGCGCTACTCCGTACAGTTTTGTATTCTACTTGATACGCTGCTAATATACAAGATTATGTTACAAGCTATAACCGTTGATTTCATAAATTCCGTTTATGTAAAACATTTTTATAGAACTATTTGAAGTGAAACTAACGGAGATCTAGCAGATCATATAATGCTTGCACTACTTACGAATTTTGTCGAGCAGCTATGATAAGAATTTTGAGTAGCAATCTTCATGTTGGAATATGCGGGCTTTTTTGAATTTTTGCCATATCACTGCTAGGAGACATGGTCGATGCTTCGTATTCGTTATTACGAAAGAGCTTTTATAATAAAATATTTATTTTTTAGCAGTTTTTCTCACAAAATGCTTAAACTTTTAAAAACTTTTCAGCTTACGAACAAATACCGATGATCTCATTACATGTATAAAACTTTCCTCAGGAAAATGTGATTTGCTCGCCGCAGGGCATTGTTCCGGAAGCCTTGCAATACTGAATTTCCCAACCGGGAAGCCCGGTTCGACCAGAAAAGTTCCTTTTTTTATTGAAAATGAAATTTCATTGTTGATTTAGTGATAATGGTTTTCTTTCTGGAATCTAAATCTTCATATTTTCCTAAATAGTTTCATTTTATATGTACACGCACCATTTCATATAATCTATAAATTACTAGCTTTTACTGTCTCCTATTTTTTAAGGATTTTTCGAAGTTTTTGTAGTCATAACTTGCAGTTGGAACAAACTCTGTCATTTGATGGACATAAGGGGCATGCAATCAGTTGTATTGCTTGGGCAGAAGATGGAAAAAGAGTGTTTTCTGCCGATGATGCTGGCATTGTGGTCGTCACTTCAGTAGATTTTATTCATGTCAGTAAAACCTCAGTTTTTTGATTTGTTTGGTCAATTTATGATTCAGATGATGTGTGTTTCTTTGATTATCTGCTTATTAATAACATTTCAATCTTTCTTAGTAGTAGCCAGTCTTTTTAAAGTTTTGAAATGTCACGACTTGTTTCAGTTTATAAATTTGCAGAATGTCTTTCAAACAACATTTATCAGCCTCGAACATTCTTGTGTGATGCAATTAACTCATGCCTACAATCTCTTAGCCCTCTGCACTGTCAAGAGAGTGGCTGTTATTGATGAAAAATTTTTTGATTCTATTCTGGAAATCGATCAACATCAACAGAAGTATTTTTATACTCATCCTTCGGAAATAAGGCAGAAAAAAAAGAAATATTTTATATCAATTGCTTAAGAAAAATTTTTTGCTCAAAATTGAAGAAATTATTTCTTGAGGATTTTTAGAGCTATTAGTATAAATCTAATTGCTAAACCCTGTGGAGCAGAATTGTTCGTTCTTCAGTCGGATGGTTTCATAATTATTTACAATATTTCCTATGGTGAGAACAAAAGAAGTTTTAGTGTGTCGGAGAACGTAAGTATTCAGATTTCAACTAATGCTTTCCTTCGTATCCATCTTGAGTACACTGATTTCAATTTTTCATAGTAAACATGTTTTAATTTTCTGCATAAACTTAGTTTATCTAATTTTAGGTAATGCAAAAGATACCACAGCAGATTTTTCAAGATTTTTCAACTGACTGCAGGTTTCTTTCATTTTTGGCTGTTTTAATTGATAATCATTAAGTTCGATTTGTTTTCATAATTCAGGAAATAAAAGTTGAATTCAAGTCTGATTTATTGGAAAAATTTTTGGAACTTCAGTGAATTTTTAGGTCACAGCAGTGGAGATCATGTATGTTAGCGGTGCATTCACAAATTTTTATAGTTTATCTCTGCAATTATATTGTTTTATTGAACTGTGAGGATGAGACGAAAACGTTATCATCATTTAATATTGACTCTCTTTTCCACGACAGAACATTTGAAGTAAGTGCTTAAAATTTTTAAAACTTCTGTATTATAAATAAATCCTTGTTCATGGTATGGATTTTTTGTTCTTCAGACATCTGTTTGTGTTGATCCAAAATTCTCATGTCCAACTGTTTATGTCCTTGGCCCAGACAATCGTGTTTTTCGTCTCTCCTCGGATGAAGTTCCTTCATATCTAACAGAAGCTCGCGGTTAGTTCATTTCCCAAATTATAATTCGAGAAAAGAATTAAGGTTGTGTACAAGAATGTTATGCATTCTGATTTTATTTGCTTTGCAGGCACTTAATTCGCTTCTTATAGTTAGTATATTCAAAAAGGTTTAATATTTCGAAATAAACTGTTTAATGTTTAGCTTAGGAGACAGTCGGTAAATTTATCAATATTTATAAAAACCTTAAGAACACTATTTTTATATCCTACTGATTTCTTAACTTCACAACATCATAATAGTCTAATAAAAGTTATTCCAGAAACACACAAGGAATTCACTTCGCGAACTTTCTTGTCCTCTTTTCAAAAAACCACTAAATTACTGCCGAATGCTTCGAAGGATGTATTTTTGGATGGCTTGAAAGTGGCAAAAGAGATGAATATCTTTTCTACGTTACGTAATTTTCCCCTTCCGGCCTTGAATGATGTGCCTGATCTGAACTGCATTCTCCATGATAATCTCAACTGCAGTTCTCTTTGTAATCAATCATCGAATGGCGATTCGTGTGGTAATAAGTCGACGAATATCGCAGCGCATCAAGACAAGAATAATATTTCGAAACATTTTGGTAATTATTTCATGACATTTGTTTTTTATAGAATTGTTAGGATTCTCCATATATCTTCAAAGTAATTTTTGAATTTGTGTAATTTTAGAGCAGATGCAAATACAACAAAACAATATTATAGAAAATGTCAACAAGGTGGCACAAACATTAGTTGATAGAGTGGGCGGATTTGGTACACAGGTATACATTACTTAATTTTGATTTTTTTTAATTTTTATGAGCTTATTGCTTGTTTCAAATGTGAAAATTGAAATGTCTCGTAGTCCTTCAAAATATCAGAATTTAGGTCGAAGATGGCTTTCCAGTGCAGTCCATATATGATACTGATTCTGTGGACGTAGGAGAAACATTATTTCCAGTTGAACAAGCCGGCATTCTTCAAGAAATTATGGTACGTAGAACGAAAACGGCTCCTACAAGTAAGCGGAAGAAAGCTGAAAAAGTGGATGATATTGATAAACATAGTTCAATGGATTCATCTAAGGAGGATCTAAGCCCTGTTGATGAGTATACGTTGAAAAGCATTAAAGGAGGTGTGTCGATTTTTTAATCCTTTGAATAAACTGTACAGATTTCAGAAAGCTAGGATATTCTTAGTGCATTGGTCCTCTTTTTCTGGTAGCATTTAAGTTGGTAAGGTAAATGATTGCTGAAATATTAAGATCTAAGAGTATCAAGATGAATGTATTTGGATTGTTTTGAAACGATTTGAATCATGCACTAAAGCAGTCAAGATTTTTTCAGCACTTACAATTCCTTTACAAAGTGGCAAAGTGAATTCCCAGCCTCAGAACGATTTCCATGATGGCAGTATCGAACAAATAGTTGGCTGCAGCGAAGAAAGTCAAGAAGTCAATAAGAGATTGTTTATATTCTTATTCTTTGCATTTACTTGCTGGGATAATCTTACTTTCGAAAATCGAAAACTTCGAATTGCAGGTGCTTCGGAATGGTGAACCGAATGATGGTGAGGATATGAAAAGTGAAGAGCATGATCCAGTAACAGGTATTTTAATCTCTTATTTATTACTAGCAACTGTTTGGTTGAATTAACAGATTTTTATGGAATGAATTAAGGTTCATTCGCCGATTGAGCTTGTTTTATTTTTTTTGCATCCTAAAAGATTGGGTGGCAAGAATTAAAGCTGAGAAAAAAAAATCAAAACGAGTCTTTTTACTATTGGAATAATTTTGCGTTTCAAGTACGTTCCAAGTATTAAAAATTCTAAAAAAACGCTTGGATCCATTTTTAAATTTTGTACGAAATTTTTAAACGTAATTCTATTTAAATTCCACTTTAAATTTCAAATGTTTATTACTAGTATATTTGAAGTAGGCTTGAAACAATTATTTTAGAGCAATCCATGACAGAAATTGTAATGAATTCATCAGTGCAAGAAATACCGGAAGAGGGAAACGCTTATGAATTTTTAATGAAGGGTGCGCTAGAGAGAAAGCCTTCTGTTTTCGAGGTATTTTATTAATGCCGACATGATCACGATATCACTATTTAGTTTTCTTGCAATAATGTGAACGAACAATTATAAAATATCGTGTTGTAGAGAGCAACAATCAGTGTTATGTGTTGCCCAAATGATGAACACCTAATCAAAGACGTTATTGTGATGAATAATTTCAGTGATATTTGGAGCGAGGTTTGGAAGTTTTAATACATTTCATGTTCTAGTTTTTAGACATGTATATTGGTAATAATGGTTTTTTTGAGGCTATACTTTTAGCATATTAAATATTAAGCAATAATGACTTTTAAAGAAATCATGAAATCAGAGCGCATGTCAAATTTTAGCAATTTCCAATCATTTGACAAGCATAAGGAACTCTTTTTTATTTTGCTAATGCGATCCATATATCTATCGAACGTATAACAATTTGATTTTAGCCATGCTATAAATATTAGAATCCTTTACAGATCGTTTTAACAACTATGCTAAGTTTGCATTTTTAAATTATCATTCGCGGTTTTTGTTTAATTCTCGAAACAGTTTCTTCCTCGTTACTGATATTGAAATAATGTGACAAAGCAGTAGCTAAATTGAGTTCGTGATAACACTGTCAGAAAATTAGGAAATAAGATTAGAGAAATTCAAGAACCGCCTAGAAAGAAGAAAAAGACTTCAAAAATTTTAAATATAAAGAGAAGTTAGAATGAGCAAAGGAAATGTTCTTTATTTTGTAGACAATATTTTTCAGTAATATCTTTTCAAAATTCATTGAGATGCCTTGATAATTTTTTTCATAGTATTAATTTCAGATAAAGTTACCATATTCCTGTTCTTCTTTTTCTGTTTCTTCTGAATATCTTATTATTTGTCATTCAAAAAAGAAAAGAAGACCTCATTATTTACTTATTCCTTATTGTGGTACTCCGCAATGGATGAAATTGAAACAAAAAGCGGATCATTTTGTTGTTAATGGTTTGTTTTTTTTTTTTGGAATTTATCTGAACTTATTGGCTACTGTAATAAATCGGTGTTTTATTCAAAGCTAATCCATTTCAAAAGACTTCTAGATTTCTCTGCAGAAATTTTCCTTTTTTATAGGCCTTGGGATTTACTTTTCAGAGAGCGATCTAGCATCTTTTCAACATATTTTCACCTTATTAAATTCTTTTTAATGAAACGCTTTTTTGCAGTACTTTGTCTGTAGAAGAACTATTCTTTTGAACTTTATTATTTCGCTCTCTACTGGACTTAAAGTTCTTTATTTGCCATGTTTCGAGGAAATTTAAGTAAATGTAAACTTGATAGTTTTATTCATTGCCCTTATTTGTAATATGTGAATATTCTAATTTGAAGAGCTAAGTAGCCATTAACCGCCGGAGACATTCCAAGTTCCTTGATCAATTATTTAATAATAATGATATAATTAAATTTTAAAATTTATCAAGATAGTGGCACCTTGCTGTGGAAAATTTTTAAAAATGTTGCATTTGCGCCCGCGGAAAGTGACAGTGGATCTGGTTCCTTTTTGACAACTTCTCATTGGACTGTTGTTGCTGATGAGGGTGGTGGTGTTATTGAAGCTACACTAACTAGTCGTTCAGCTTGGTATATAACAAAGTCAAGAGAGGTATGGCTATTTTTTCATTCTGCATTTTCCAACAATACTAGTGCAGAAACTAAAGCTGATGTAAAAATGTGGAGTCATTTATTAGGTGGTTCTTCATGTGAGACTTTAACCGTATTCTGCTAATATTTTTTATTGGTCATCTGTATAGCTTTTTTTGAGATGTTTAGTCAGTTTTGCAATATTTTAATAGTTGAATTGCAGGTTTTTGTGCAGCTATGCTTGCCAGAAATGGGAATTCTCAGTAGATGTGAAACATCATGGCCATTACACTCTATTACTGCAAGTGAATTGGCAGTTTGGGCGCTACAAGTTGAATCAGGTCGCCTTGTAGTACGTACTGGACTAAAACATAGTCCAATTGGATTGGATTGGGTTGAAGTTGCGTATGTTTTTTATGTAAGACTAGATTTTCATCGTTGCTTTCTGAAGTAAAAATTAAATTGATTAGAATGATTTCTCCTTTTCAAATCTAGATTTCCTAATTCTATGATTTCTGGTTCATCTGAATAACAGTTTTATAGGCTTTATGGACCTACACGTTTGATTAGCATTTGTTTATATGGTCAGAGCGGTTGGGCAATTGATGAAAAGCGTTCATTGTGGTTCACAAATGGTGTGGGATATCAAAGCCCATTTGGTTGCACAGGAAGCTGGATGAAAGTACGTCTTGTTATTTTTTGGCGTATTTGTCTAGAAAGCAAAGAAAATAAATTGCTGCACTCTTCTAAAGTCTAATACTGCAAATTTCATGATTTAAGATTTGATAGTTTTTTATCGTTTTTAATTAGCAATTTGACTCTGATGTTATCGCTCGAAAAAGAAATTTTTCGCTTGAATACAGATTTTTTTAGGTTTATAATCCGTGGGATGTTTCACCGGATTTTAATCGGTTGTTGACTTTGCCATGGGTTATTCGCGTCTCTTCGGCCGGAGTTTTTGTATGTACCGACCGTAAGTGTTATTGGTCATCATCTAGTTCTCTTTCTGGGCATCGTCTGGAACACATTGTGCGCGGTAAGCTCTCAGTGGACAACAATTTCGAATTAATAGCAGGTGGAGGTTTGACAGAAGATTTTGGTGAGTATTTTGAATCGCTGCCGAAACTTGTTTTAGTATATTTATTCACTGGAACCGTCTGCGATCTACTGCTTTATTAGTCTTTGTATAGCTTGATAAACTGAGCGCCACTTCATATTTCTACACTATATATATTTCACAGTATTGGCAGATTTTTTTATGCTCATGAGGATCCAAAAATATTGACTGGAAAGTTGTCCGAAAAAACTAATCTATTGTAATTCAAAAGATCAATGTATCATGATGTTTTTGTTGCAGATTGTTTAACATTATGTCGAATTAACGAAATATTCCTTTATCGATTGAAAAATAACTATTTCTATTCTCTACCAGCCTTTCCATCATCATTCAGTTCAAACGTAAATGCATTTTACATCAAGAATTTTTTATTAATAATTGAAATATTTTGACGCGAGTTGTGTATGTGTCTTCTGAGAGAAGCATATATTGCTTCGCCTTAAAACATGTTCTTTATTTTATCTGTTACTGTTTTTCAATGCAAAACCTTGCAGATAATTGAAATATCATCCTTTGACGAGAGTGTGTATGTGTTGGATAGTTCTGGTTGTATATACGTGAAGGAAAATATAAGTACTGCTTCTCCATTTGGTGTTGATTGGAAAATCTTGGATACAGGTTCTTGTGGTCAGTTTTTTTCTTGTTTTAATAGGTTTTATCTATCCGATTTATCTTAATTTTATTTTTTGGAGATCTGGAGTAAATATGTCCATAATTATTTTACATGAATTTCAGGTTCACCAATAATATCGTTTACTGTTACATCGGTTTCATTGTGGGTAGTTACGGCAGCTAATGAGGCTTATTTATATGTAAAAAATAAGAAGGAACCATTAGTTGGTACAAACCCTACATGGATTCATGTGAAGGCTTTAGCTGGTTGTGTATTCGATAAGGTCAGGAGATTATAGCGAAGTTTTTACGGATATTCTACTGAATTTTCAAATTTACTGATGTTCTATCTCTGATTCATTTTTATTTTATTAAGGAGCTTTTTGCTTATTTGAGCTGTAATCATTTTTTTGTTTATAATTTTCTATTAATTTGGCGCTTAATATAACAGTTTTTTTTAGATTCGTGCATCTTCTAACGGAATGTATGTATGGGTCTTTTCAAAGAACAGTGGGCGTGCCTGGGCTCGTAATTCTATTACGGAAATGCTTCCTTCTGGAAAGTCATGGACAGAGGTTAGTCTAAACTTTTGAATAAGTTTGGAGTAAGTGCTTATCAAAATTTCAAGGCGATAGTTTCAGACAAATGATGAGCCTGGTGTTTATGACTTGGCTGTGGGATGTAAAATAATCTGGTCTCTTTCCGCTTCTGGACAGCTTCACAGGCTTCAAGGTCTTGCTATGAGTGTTCGAGCTGGGAATTATTGGAAACCGGTTCCAGTTTATTTAAAAACAATAACTCTCGATAGGAAAGAACGGTTATGGGGTATCGACTTCAACAGGCGATTGGTTTCTCATAAGTTAAGTTTTTATTTTTATGTTTTCAACATTTTAGTTTAATCAAAATTTATCGATTCTTTTTTTAATTTCAAAAAAAATCTTATGGCTTGGATTTGTTTTCTGATGTTGAATAATTTTAGGCTGAATTGTACCCTCCTACCAGTGATGATTAGTTTATGGCCTGATGAACCCTAATTTATAATAATCACGAGGATGATATTGAAACTTAATGTATAATATATCTTTATGTCGCATACTTTTGTATTATTGTGAATTTTGAGTGCTTATTTTTTCTTTATGTTTTTAGCAGTCTATCTATTTGTTCTTCCGAAATATCTATTTTTATTCGAAAATTTCGAAATGTCATAAAATTTGAAATTTGTTTTTAGCCTGTCGCTTTTTTTGTTTTTGATTTCAACGATCATGCATTATTTTTATTTTTTTGCATTAACTGCTGATGTGAATGCTTCCAGCAATCAGGATAGTCAGTACTGTGGGTCTACTATTTCAGGTCCAAGCTCCTTTTTCTTTTTTACTTTTTCCAAACTTTCATTCACTTGTTGAAAAGCCATGCTCTTTATTGAGTTCTATTTTTTTATGATTTTTATTTGTTTTTTAACTTTGCTTTATGATAATATTAATTGGTATAAATATCGCATACCCTTCGCCATACTAATTTACATATCCAGTAGCTTTGCTATATAAAAGAAATGTATAAAGAATAAAGATGTTAGTCGCTGTATAAAAATGTATTGAAAGAATGAAATATATAAAAGATGTATATAAAAGCTACATAAAAGAATGAAAAAGTTGGCAGTCGAACTTTTTGGAATCTAGAGAGATGTGATTAGCATAAATTTGCTAAAAGTATTGTTTTGGCAAATAGTTGGGCTTACCACTGGAAAATTATATTAACTATTAATTATTTTATATCTTTCATAATATACTAAAATAGATTTAAAAGTTCCGAAAAATAATCATTCGAATAAGACCTCTTCCTTTATATAATTCCTCAATTTCCAACTTGTTTGCTGGGGAACAAACACTACTAAGAGAGTGAATCAAAGGTAGGAAGTGTATTGTATCCTAAGTTCTGTGTTTGATAACTATACAATGTTTAGAGGAAGTTGACGTTTTCAGTAAATATTTTACCATCCGTAAGGATGGGAAATGATGATGTATTGTTTGTCATGTCGCGATTTTGAGGTTGTAATGTTGATTTTTGAATTTATTCGCTGGCAATATACAATTCTAGATGTCGTATCGAATCCAGTTTTTCACTTCGTACTTTTACTCGTTAGTTTCGCTTTCTTGTAGAATTCTTTATTTAATCTTCCTTATCTTCGTATTTACGCTATTTTACCGAAGCATTTTTGCTTGTATAAGTTTATTGTTTTTCATCATATAACATTTTTAGATTTTTTAAATCTCGATTTATCACTTGGAATACACGTATGATCCATAGAATTTAGCAATGATAATTTTTCATAATTAGAAGGTAAACTTTTTATCATAAACATTTCTAAATATATGACTGTGGGGAAAATTTGAAGAATGCTAATATAGCTGACATCAATTATACGGATCGAATTTCCATTATTCGCATGTTCATTTTAATTTTATTTTTTCTTACACAAATTTTCGAGTCTTACTAAATTAATAATTTTCACTGATAATCAATATTCAATTTAAAAAAATGTGCTGGAAGCTTTAAATAGCTGATTTAGCCGTTTTCATATTTTAATCTATGTCATGATTTGCTGTTAAAGTAATTAGTAAATATGAACTGAATTGTGGAAAACTGATTAAGATGTTGAAAATCATGTGGATCATGTGATATGCAACGATAAAAATTATGTAATGATTTATCTACTTAAAATAAAGCATAATTTATTACATTCTAATGAACCGTAGTTGTAGCATCGTTTCTTTCGACCTTTAACACTATCAGCATTCTTTGTATTCTAAAATACAATATCATGAGATACAATTCCATAGAGTGATAGTGGAGAAAATTTGTCAGCTATTTTAGACTTTCTTTCATATTTCATCTATTATTCAAAATAGTACAAAAAAAAAACAATAAACTCAATGGAAAGCAATGAAATTTTTTGTTTGCTAAATCGTCATTTTTCATTTAAATTTATTTTTCTAAATTTTGCAAAACTCTGGATTTCACTATTCCGAAATCATTTCAAAACCAATAATAAACTTCTATGATTAGATTAAATGTAACAGAATCTTCAGTCAAATTATTTGGGAAAATTGATCAAGATGAATGTAAATGGATAAACATATCTACGAGAAGAGATTGCTCGTTACCAGAAATTAAAAATATTTGTATTAGCGTAGCTTAGTTGCCTTCATTGTTCAAAATAAAATAGAGGTAAGGTAACGGGTAAGTAAACAATGAGCATTGTCGCAACTTTTAATAGTTTATTTTTCTATCATTTCACTTCCACTAATATACCATTTTTTTTTAGATTGCCATGGAATTAAGAAACTTTTAGGGCTTGTTTTCAAAAATTCATTGGGATATTTAATGTGAGCTACCTCTCTGTTGCTTGCTGACAGTCAATGTGATATGTTTACACAAATATCTTGCTTGGTTGATCTATTGATAATGGTTCGCTTTAGCAGCAATCTTCTGTATTTACATTTTACAGAGGATAACAAATTGACTCAGAGATTTTGCATTTTTCAGTGCTTTATTGCTTGTTTAGCTGTTATGGAAATTTCGATTTATAACAAGGTTGAAAAATAATAATAGGATTAAAGAATTTAAGGAATTTCAATTTCTGGATTTGAATATCGCATTTCTTATAACAAGATCGAATAATTATAATAATAAGTATTAATAACAAGAATAATAATGGTAAATAATGACGATAATAAGGATAATGGATGGTAATAATGGATGATAAATAATAATAATACAATAATAATAATTTTCGAGGATTTAGGAAATTTTAATTTTAAAAATTTGAATATTGCATCGAAGAATAGGCAAGCGAGAAATTTACTTTATTCATACTATATTTCTTATTATTTCGATTGTTATTGAATTAAGCTTGATTACATTAGGAAGAATATCGCTTTTAAAAGTAGATGATGAAAAATGACATAAGACGGGTTGTTGAATACCAATAATCGTTGTTATTTTCATCCTTTAATTTGAATTGTAATTATAACTGGAAGTTCTCTTATTGAAATATTCTACTTTCTGTTTTATTCAGTTTTAAATAATACAAATAAAAGAAAAACGACTGTTTTGTTAGGTCCAAATTAATGGAAAATAACAAAGAAAAGAGTTATTATAATTGAAATGAGCGGATAATTTTTCAATAGAATGAAAATGAATCAGCGATAAATCAGAAACAGTAAATTTGAAAATTCAAAAGAAGATTATCTTCAATATTTTTAAATGTAATCTTTTGTTATTACATAAAAACAAGCCTAACTATTAGTGTAATCAACCACATTAAAATGAATGTAACGGTGTATTAGCATTGAATTTCATTATAATTTCAAGAAATTATTCAGATGAAGGAGAAAAAAATAAACTTAATAAATTTTTTCTTTTCTCATCTGTATCCCTCTCCCTCCTCTCTGAGAGTATTGCACTATGATGCTTACTATGTTCACTAAAAATATTTCATACATTAAATATTATTACTCTATACTGTACTGAAGAAAAAAGATGAGAGAATTTATGCGGAAAAGTTTGTTTATTAAATATTTGATGCTGTGTTTTTCTGTTCCTCTTCTTTTCAGTTGGAAAATATTCGCTGTTCACTTTATTTCTTCTCTCCAATAACATTTTTAAAATCATATTTATCACTTCTAGCTAACAAGTTCAATATTAGAGAGCAGTTTTCCTATTCTTTTTTTCTTCAACATATCTGATCAAATCGCTAAAGGTGTAAATGAATCGATGGGAAGCTTATCAGCACAGTCCTACTGCTGTTTTGTAAGTTTTCATGAAATTTCGTACATTTTTTAAAATTTTTATGTAGATGTTTTCTTGATCTTCTATAGCAATGTAAAATTTACGCATCGTTAGCCTGTTGTTTAAAAGTTTTAAGATATGAGAAGAAAATTAATATTTAATTCTATCATTGATAATTTATCGTAATAGTGTAGTCCTTACCATTGGTTTTGGAAAAGTTTAGTTCTTAGTTCATTTAACTTATTGAACTACGAATAATTTATTGATTAGTTAAGTTTATTTTGACCTCATACTATTAATTATCTGGAAATTATAGACAAAATGGAGTGATAATACAAGATAACAAAGCGGTTACTGAGCATGGAGTGTTTCAGCATGCTACTGTTGGTAACTTTTTGGGATCCAGCATTGAAGGTTTATTTTTACTCTTGAAAAGCTTCTTTACTTCATTGTTTGAACTTAAAATTTTGCACTAATATTTGAATAGTTTCAGGTTCAGGTTCCGGTTTTATACGCTGTGTATATACAGCGAAGAATACAGTAAATGCAACCGTTACATTATTGTGAGATTTTCGAATCTACCTAGAATTAAATCAATTTTTAATGGGAGAAAATATAATTAAAACTATTAGTCTACTCTAGTCTGGAATTTTATCTTAACGTATGCTTTTTGAAAGCAATGTAAAATTGGAATAATACGGACAAAAATCTCATAAAATACTTAACAATTATCAATGGGATGATAATGTTATAGATGTGATATCGATGCTGGTTGTTGTGAGAGAGGTTGCTGTCCACAGGATCTGTTCTGGTTTCTTTTTTTAAAATATCAACTCAAATTCCATTATAAAATTTTAATAAATTTTAGTGAAATGATAAAATTTTTTAATTTTTATTCAAAACATTTGTGTGTATGTCTAATTACAAATCAAATTTTTATCTGTTTTGATGTTTTAATTCAATCATTGTTTTATTTGTTTTTCATTAATATTTGATTTTAGCATTTGTGATGAGAAATTTATTTTAGGATGGCTGGTGTGTTTATTCTGTTAGTTTTTGTGCTTTTGGTGTTTGTCATTGGCACATGCGTCATAATTTTTTGCTATTGGCGAACGAAAAGGGAGCAGCGTAGAGAAGCATATGAATATAGCATTTATGGCTCACAGGTAGGCGGGTTTTTATTTATTTCAATCAAGTTGTTTGAATTTTTAACTCAAAAAAACCCTTTTTTCTCTCCGAAAGCTTTTTTAATATACTAAAAGAAGTGTGATAGGAATGAAGATGAAGGTAAAGGTGAAGGTGGGTAGCATGCACTGATTATTCGCAACTAAAAGACAACCGGTACATCTGTTTAATTCTTCCTGGCTGCTTTCTAATGAATGAAGCAAAACATACTATGGATCAATCCAAATAAATTTAGATAAATCTTTGAAATAATTTAAAATTTCAGAAATTTTAATTAATTTTAAACTGTTATGTGAATTGCATTTCAGATTGGTATGTATCCGGATGGATACAGCTCAAATCAACATATGTATCAAAGGTACTAGCAGCATTTTGTTTGTTTTCATAGCGTTGTGTAAATGGAAAGTGTTGTGTTAAGGATCACAATTATATTATGTCTTCTGATACGATCTTCTCTGATGAAAGCTGCTAAATAAATCATTCCTTTCTTGTTAAAACTGACCAATAGATCTGATTTTTAATCTTATAAAAAATTAGTCAAGCTTATAATGGATGGAAGAAAATAATTGTGTTTGCTAAGCCAGTACACATGAATTTCAGTTAATGCAATCCTTCTTCATTTGAAAGAAATTTGCATTTACAACAATTGAATAAAAGCATGTGTTGCTGAGATAAACAGAAAAATGTCTTCATTATTTCTGGAAATCGATTCCTCCATAAAATAGAGCCATAGAAAATATTAATCTTTAAGTCCATTGATAACATTTAATCCATGAAATTCTCGCTATGGTTTTATGTAAAAATGATTTGTAGCATATTCTCATGAATAATTACTTCATAAGAGAGAACACGGGACAGCCTGAGAACATCACCATAGTAACTGATCATTTAATAATAAATAAGTTTGAAGTCACCATTATTTTTTACTGTAAAGCGGTTTGTTGTCGTCATCTTTCAGTGCTAAAGCTCAACAGATTGCGCGTCTCATTTCATCGGTTAAAATATAGCAAATTTTTATATTAAAAAAATGAGAATTATTAAAATGCGTAATCCATGTTTTAAGCAATCTTTCAACATCAATGCTTAACCATATTTGAGTAATAAGTGCTATTTATGACTGAATTTCATTAAGTTGAAAATTACTGTGGTGATGGATAATTTTGTTATTATTGTTCTCCTTATTTTCGTTATTTCGCATAGGATATTAATTAATTGGATTAAAGCTTATTATAAGTTTTACACAAATTTCAATAGACCACTAAGTTCTTCTGGCATGTTACATTTGCAATTAAACAAAAAATGCAATTAAATATATTCTGCAGTTGAAAACGTTTACTGTAATTAGCTTTTAATAAAGGATAAACTAAATTTGCAAAATAACTGCGATAATATTTTTTATTTACGAGAACTTTTTTTAATATTTTGATTTAGTTAATTTTAATTTTAGCTCAACGCATTTCAATCATTCATTTTTTAGAAATCTTACAATTTAGAAATTTTAGATGACGTAGAAATTCAACTGAATTTTTTTTAGAAATTCTATTGAATTTCAGAGGAAAATTTCAGTATTTTAGATGACAGCAGAGGTGAAAGAAAAAAGATATCCTCTCCAGTTTCATACGTGTAATTTCATACGAATTAAAATGCTATACTTTTCTAGCAAATTTAGCAATATTGGGGAAATCTGATAGCAAGTTTAAATGGTTCAAATGAAATTTCTCTCAGTGATACCTTCAATGTATAATCTTTTTTTCATTAGCATTATAATATATTAATGGATGTATGAGAATGGAAAAGTATGCAAAAAATTTCCGATCAATTCTCAAGTAAATATTTTTGAGCATAGATCAGATCAGATATTCTACCATGTTTTCTAATCTTCTAAAGGAAAAAAAAAACTTTAACTTTTTTGTATTAGAAGTTCCAACAACATTAAAATAAGCTGTGAGAATTTCGCATGTAAAGATAAAATAACTCGTAGTTTGAACGCCAATTCACTTCGTTCATAATCATTTAGTTCATAATGGAATTGGAAGCGAAAATTCTTTCTGGAATTGGTATAGGCTTCTGGGAAAATTTGCCATTTGATAAATTACAGCCATTTGGCTAAGTATATCTCCTGCTTATAAGGTTTCAGATAATTTTAATTCATACAAGCATATTTATATTTTTATTTATTTTAGTTACCATTTTCAGTATTGTAGTTAGTTGACTTTAAAACCCAAAATTTTAATACAAAATTACTAGTTTTACGAAGATATGGGCAAATTAATAGAATTGAAATGAAGTAGTAAAAAGAAATACAGCCTATTAGCCGTAAACAATTACATTTACAACCCGTAATTTAAGATTTTATTATTTAATTCAATTTACTTATACATTAAACTTATTAATCTGACTCAATTAATCACAAAAAATATATATTTTTTATTGCTTCGTATAACTTTCTATCCATTACATTATTACTTTTACTGCTGAACATATAAGCTATTTTCGTCTAAATAACAGAAATTTTTCAAATTGATAGTAAGTAATTGCAAATAAATTATCAACTTAGACGAGAAGATTAAATTTTGACAATTTCTATGCCGGATGATAATGCCACTACAAAGATAGTTCAAATTTTAGAAATGAACTGAAAGAGAAGCAAATCGATTTTTTAATGAAAACCGCATTCTGATCAACTATATTTCAATTTAAAGATGAATGAGATAATTTCTTTGTATCAGAAAATATGAATATAATGAATTGCTTTAGGAAGTATTTTTTTAACTGCAATGGAAATCTTTTCCAACTCTTTAAATTTCCTTGAGAAAATAGAATAATTCAAAAGAAGAATTTTTAAATGGGATAATTTTAGCTGGTTAAAATCTTTAAGGTTGAATAATTAAAAATAATCACGATAATAGAAAATAATAGGCAGTTTGTTTTATTTTTTTTAGAAGGTTTTTTAAAGGTGTACTATAAAAAAAAATTTTTACTGTAGCTAAAAAGGAAATAAATGCTAAAATCACTTTTTAATTGATAAAATACGAAATAGGTTAAGTATCGGGCGGTCATGTCGGATAAAAGGATTTCAATATGTTGCTAGAAATTACCGAATATTTTTTCATATTCTAAAACTTTTTTTTAATATCGAAAGCGTAAAATTGTAAATAGCAGAGTAATATTATAATAAATTGTTTATGTTTATAATTTAAAAAAAGAAGTGACTTTTAGTTTAACTTCCGAATGTAGGAAGTAATCAAGTAATAAATCGATGAAGTGTTATTCGTATATTTGGATTTTAATTTGATTTTTTAACTTCCAAACAATACCACCAATTTTTGCCATGAAAAGTTTTAGGCTTGCAGTAATGGAAAAAGAAGTGAGTGAAGAGAAGGGAAAGGCGGAAGAATCATATTCATCACAAAAAAAAAAAAATGGCGTAGCTTTTATCGAAGGTGTCAAGAAAGTTCAATAAATTGAATATAGAAGGAAAAAAAAGAGAGAACGGAAGGGCTCATATTGCAGTATTCTTGGCTTACACATATGTCAACCTTAATCCTGCGGTCAGATAATTTCTTTCCCGAAAATTAAAAATAAACTTAAATTATTCAAAGACCTACAACTTATGATATCTGATAAAATCGATCCATTTTATACACATTTTTTTATGGTAATGATTTTTTGATTAATTAAATGATATTTTTTCCAGTTGTATTAGATTAAGATTGAGAATGTAGAAAGTATTGTAAGATTGCTCTGTAGATTGTCAATTTTTAGTTGATGATAACGAATGCATTGACCGGTACATTTCAATCACTTAAAATATAAACCTTTTACAATAAAGTTATCCGTCATTTCCATGTTATTTTTCAATTGTTAGTATTTTAAAGCTCTGTGCCAGTAAGTATTTGGGAAAAAATATACCGCTTAGTTTTGAAAAATGATTTTAGAACTGTTTACTTTTGCAATTTTCAAATTTTATTCAAGCCTGTTTAATGAGTTTAAATAATTCCAAAATATGCAAATTCTTTAAAAAAAACTTTACTCATGTTTTTTTCAAAAATATCATAAATTACTAAATGTAAATATCTTTCTTTTTCCTAGTTCATTCATTAACAGCTATTTGTACCAGGTAGTACGTAGCATTAGCAAATAGCATTATTTATATTGTAAGGTAAATTCCCCCAGAATACTGTTCATATTTTCCATTCATTAGTAGTACGTCCTTACATTTTCAATCCTTCCATTACTTCAACATACAGTTGAATACGATCGTTCAGAATCTCAGCAGCAAGTTGTAAGCAGATTTTGCTAAACAGTACGATCTATCTGATCAGAGAGAAAGAATGAAATTTGGCTAAGGGATCAATGTGAATGCTTTTTCATAAAAATTTCTGTTGTAAAATTTAATTCTATCGTTGAGATTTTTTTACCTAATCATTTCATTTAGGTATCATTGCTCAAAACGTAATATATATATTTTGTAATATATTTATTTATAAAAGCAAAAAATGTTAAATATTTCGTCTATACTCTGATTTAATTAAGGTATGCAATATGAGCCGTATCTCTGAGTGGACATGAGATGACCGTTGATGCACTTTAATGTGTACGGTCAGTGTCATGAAATGCAATGAGAAAACAGGTAGACATGATGCATTAGCAAAATATATCTTTCTTGACATACAGATAAAAATTATGATAGACAGTTGAATCAAAGTTAAAGCAAAGAGAAACAATTAAATGAAAAGATTTTGTATCACAAAGCAAAATTTAGATTGAAGGAACTAAAATAAAAGATTCGAATATGTTTTTCCTATTTTTTATAACTGCTACAGCATATATCAAATATTATATAACTCAAATATTATTTAAAATTAAATTTCACCAAAAATTCATTTAACCTATACAAAACTTAAAGTTCTCACTACATAAGCTTTCATGTATTTTTAACAAACGTAACCGATGCATTCATTCAATAGCCGTAGAAATGAAACGAAGGATATTACTGTTTTTGCATAATTTTTACACATTCCATAATCATGAAAAACACTATTTGATATGTGGCTTATTTAGAACAGCGCTCAATTTGAAGGCTTAAGCTTAAAGTAAGCAATAAAAGCAAACATTTAAAGAAAAAATCACATCGATCCTTTCCTATTTTGTTCCTTTTTCAGTTAAAGACAGCTATTTTACTTTCGGCATTTAATATATTTGAAGATTGCACTTCAAAGAAAAGTCTTTTTGACTGTATTGTAAAAATGAGTGATGATATTTACGTTTCTTCCATAAAAAAATTTTCGTACTTTATAGGACCGTAAAAAATTAATTAGTTTTTTTAAAGAGTTTTTAAAAAAAATGACGCGATATTTGTCGATGATGATATCAAATCGTTTTCAATCATCCATTTTCATTATGATTTCTCATTCAGAAATGAATGTTCCATTTTGTTTTAATCCCCAAAAAAACAAAAAACAGAAACTGCTGAAATTAAGCCATATTAATCATTATTGACTTTTTTTAGTTGTTTTCGAATTGCCGCATGCATTTTTATCGTTTCATTAATGGATTTTAGTTTGTAATTGATGGATAGCTTCTGATAATTTGTATCAAACTGATAATGCGGTGGGTAATGATACCATAGTTGTGTTAAGCAATATAAAACTTGGAGAACTCTTTAGATGAAAGTTTTCCACTTACATTTCTACACTTTAAATTTTTTTAAATAATAAAAACGCAAAATAAATAAGGCTTTCCACATATGTCCTTAATTATTTGTAGATGACAGCTTTTAGAAGGAATAAGTAAGCTATTATCAATTATATATTGGCAGAATTTCTAGATTAATTAAATGACATAATTAAATAATTAATATTTAATATGAATTTGAATGATCGATCATTTTTCTGCAGTATTTTCTGATGACAAACGTTAAGCATGTTACCCTTATCTCCAGTTACGTCAGAATTAATCATATCTTCTACTGGCCAGAGATAGTAAAGAGGGAAGAATGAAAGTAATAATATCATTTATGCTATGAGAGATTTTAATCTTTAATTAAGGTAAAGGATTTTGATTAATTTTACTAATTGTCAGCGATTAAAATGGATTTTAATCCTTCACGAAATATATTAATTGGAAATTTTAAGTGATTCAAACTTATACTTCATATCAAATGAGAAATATCTCATTCAAAATATTTTGCTATTCATTTGCATTAATAGTTCTTTTTTGATTTGAACGACAAAATTATCTGAAAGTTTTAGCGAATTCTTTCAGGAAACAAATTAAAGTTTCAAACTGCAAGAAATATAAATTGAATGCCTCGATCGTGTATTTTCATAAGCATTCATTTGCACTTTGTCATATCTCTTTCATTTCATTTTACTATGCATATTATTTCAATGTTTTATTTTGAAATTCTATTCATTCTGTACTGCTCTGTTTCAGTCATATATATTCCAAAATTTCTTTTTTACATAATATCCATGTTCAACACATACACATGTGTTAAGGGTAAAGTTATACTTATTAATGTACCGCTAGCAGAATTGCTAAATTAATTTATAATTTCTGCAACGAAAAATTGTGCAAGCAGACAATTTGAAAATATGAAAGAAAAAGACAAACAAGCCTGTTAACAAAATAAAATTAAAAAAACTGAACTATTGGGCTAAGTGCATTCTAATTTCTAAACATATGCGAAGCAATTTGTTATATGAAAAGAGCTAAAGGTCTAAAAATTGTTCATGCGTAACAGAAAAATATATTTGGCACATAAATTTTGTGTGTAAATTCTTTGAAATTAATCTACACGATATTTCTTATTTTCATGTATTTATTTTTATTATTTTGCAATAAAAAATTCTTAAATTTTCTTAAAACTAATCATAGTACTCATAGTTTTATTTATTGCTGCTTATTTGAATTCCACCCATTATATGAATAATTATTAGAAACAAATAGCTCTAAATTAATTTTTTTTTCGCTGACGTCTTTTATTTTAAAACACTATTATTATTATTTCATACTTTAATTAATTTTTCAAAAAATTTCACCTATTTGCTCTGTATCTTCTTTTTGCTTTATTTTAAAGATGCAATTTACATCTTAAATTATGTTGGATCATTTAATTGACTAAAGTTTTATTGCCTTAAAATTTCTTGTTGAGAGAAAAAATGAATGTTGAAAAGCTTTTAAATAAATGGTTAGCAAACAAATGATCTTTAGTCTTCAATAAAAGGGCGAAATTTAAAATGTGTCCGCAGATGATTCAGCAGAGAGCCAAAAAATAAAAGGTAAATGTGTGAAGAGAAACAACAAGGCTTTTACTGTGACGATTGATTGAAAATGTATAAATGAAATTAAGGCATGCTATAATTGTTAAAGGCTATAAATAAGTGAAAATCGTTATTCTTGTTTTCCTCTTTTCATTCGAAAATAAAAAAAAATTCTTCTTCCAAGTAAATTCACTCAATTCCATATTGTTTCGGTAAATATTTTCTCAATAGCAAACTTTTTTTGTTTAATGAGTAATTTAACTGTTGATGAAGGAGATTTGCAGAAGAAAAAATGACTGATAACCGATAACCCTTTCTTCAAAAGATTTATGAAATCGAGCAATTGAAAAGATATTGAAAGAAAAAGAAGGAACGATATCAAATATCATCATCAGTATCGATGTGAAGGGGAATTAGGCTCTGTTGGCATGCCTGTCGTTAAACGAGGACTCGTTGCTCCACAGAATACATTCCTTGAAAATGTTATCAGACGTTGCAATAATTCTGGTTTGTTTAGCATTTTTGTAATTATCGAGAAAAAAATTATTAATAAATAATATGCAAAATAATCATTTCTGAAGACTTTACCTTAAACTATTGAAATTTCAATTAACTATTCATTAGATAATGTGATTTTAAAGTTAATTATATAAAGAATTATCGAAGAATATTTCTGAAATTGAAAGTAAATCACTGGTCGTTTGATGTCAAAAAAAGTCATATGAGGAAAAAGCAATAAATTGTTAATAATGAGGTATGATTAGGTAATTTATTGCTTTTTCTCATATGAGATAAAGCCAAGTAATATATGTTATTATCATGAATAGGCATTTATTTAAAAAGAAAAAATTTATCGGCAATGGATCTTTCAAGAATTCAGACAATAAGAATTTCTTAGGAAGATTAAAAATCCAGAAAAAAATTAGAAAACTGATCAAATGAGTTTAACATTTCATTCCTATTCACTAGCCTCACTTTTATAATAAAGCGATGATGAATCCTTAACGGAATTATCTTTCGTCATTTCAGGTAAACAGTCAGAGAGCTTAGGTGATAATTATAGGGTATATCCAATGATTCATACAGATTATTTCCCATCAAAAGTTCAACTAACTCATAAATTTGTCAGTTATTGTTAGATAGAAATTAAATCTGCTATAATAAAAATGAATAGAATTGAAACATTCATTAAATTACTCGCACATAAAATTTCACAGACAAAATCAAAATAATAACTGCTTTTAAAATGAGGGAAACAGAGTGTTATCAACGGGAAAGAAGAAATTTGAAGATAAACAATTACAAAAGTGCTATTAGGCGGAAGCTTTCTCGCATACATTTGAGCTTAAATTTTCTTTATCTTTTGTTGCAAAGTTGAATCAAAATGAATTATGCCTAAATTTAAAAAGCATACTATTTCTATCTAATATTCTTGTCATGATGTAAAATTTTTTAATTCATTAAACTGTAAAGCAATATTTTTCTCTGTTTTTGCAGATACCAGTTTTATATTAGCAAACGCTCAAATAGTAGAATATCCGATCGTATATTGCAACGATGGTTTTGCTAAGATGGTAGGATATTCTCGGGCTGAAATTATGCAGAAACCTTGCTCGTGAGTTTGATTCCTCTACTTCAACATAATTTTTTGCTTGTTACTTTTAAAAAGAAAAAATAAATTTGATGAAATCAAAAATTTATCGCATATGATATTTGCATAACAATTTCTTTTTTCATAAAGAGAATTTTTAACCGTTTGATGGAAATGAGTGAAGTTGAATATGACCTATTTCGATAGTACTATTTGATTTTTTGATTTTGAAGACTTTCCTTCATGCGTGCGGACTACAGCGGACCAGAAGCAGTGAAAAAGATTCAAAATGCGCTTGACATGTGTCAACATGAACAAACAGAAATTGGTCTACGCAAGAAAAACAGTTCGTTTTTTTTTTTTGGAAAATACTTTAAAATTCTTCAGGAATATTTAAATAAAGTTAATTCCAAATTCAATCTACTTTTTGAAAAACTCTGATCAAATAGAAAGTTTGTCGAAATTTTAATTGAATTTCATCATGAAAAATCATTGCTAACAGTGTCACTGCATTGCTCATTCATCGTCAATTTTTAAAAATTAAGCAAAATTTTTAGCCGTTTCAAAAATTTCCAGGAAGTCTCCTTTGGCTATTGATGCATATCTCTCCGATAAAGAATGATAATAATCAGGTGGTACTATATTTGTGTCAATTCAGAGATATCACACCTCTTAAACAGCCACTTTATGATGAAAATCATAAAGGTAAGGATGTTTTGCTTTCATTTATTCTATGATAAAAGCTTTCTACGTTATCTTTTTAATAACTTTCCTACAATTCAGGTATCTTAAAAAAGCTGTTAGGTGCAAAAAGTTTTTTTCTATTGTTAATTTTTAACCAAATTTAACAAGAAAAAATATTTTCATGACCATTAGCTTCTACTTAATAGAACTAATCTATTTCGCCTGAAGTTAAATGAAATAAGTTAATGTTAAATTCTAACATGATAGAATATCACTAAAAAAAAGAGGATCTCAGTAGACTACAAAGACAAAAAATAATTAGCATGAATTACCATGTTCATATCTTGCTTCTCATAAAAAGCTCTGGTATTATGAAATCATGATTATCATTTTTCGTCATTGTTTATCTACTTGATAACTTAATTCAATGATAATTTTTTCTTATTTAGGCTTCTCACGAATTTTGCAAATTGCAAGAATTGCAAAAAGCAGACAACAATTTAATCAAATTGAAACAAGAGATCTGCACAAAACAACGAGTACAACATCATCAAACTTCAATCAGGTTATCAAAGTTTGTTTTTCCGTATTATCATTTTTTTTTTCATTTGCACCATTTATATGTTTAATAC